TGCTCTTCTCTGGCCACTCTACAATGTACTGCTTCTGTTAACTATACTGGTAGGCCTTGACTTACTACATTTAATGACCATCCGAAGTTACAATGGCGCTGAAAAAAGTGGCTTATGACCATTTTTCACACTTGCGACTTTTGTAGCATCCCCATGGTCATGTGATCAAAATTCAGATACTTGGCAACTGACTCATATTTATGACAGTTGCAGTGTCCTGGGGACATGTGATCAGCTTCTGTGACCTTCTGACAAGCAAAGTCAATGGGGGAAGCCTGATTCACTTAACAACCAGGTTACAAACTTTTTGCAGTTTGTACTACAATTGCAGTGATTCACTTAACAACTATGGCAAGAAAGGTAGTAAAAGGGGGCAAAATTCAATTAACAAATGTCTCACTTAGCAACAGAAATTTTGGCTCAATTATGATCATAAGTCGAGGACTACCTGTAATGCTAATTACCCTGATGGTCAATAATAAGAATGGTACTAATGTGCATAACGCAGCAACTTCCAGTTCCCCCACATATCAAAAAATGCTTTTCTTAATAACAGAAAACCTATACTTTTCCCCCTTCCTGGTTTTGCCCCCAAATCCATTATTGTATTCCAATCCACACATTTCAATGTGCACTATCAACACCAAGTTGCTAAATTGTATACTGGAGGACTCCATGATCATTTTTCACCCTCCCAACAGAGATCAACAGAGATGTCCCCTGAACAAGGACTGTTACTGATTTTCAATGTTCTGATGCGAATTTTAACAGTATTAATACAGTTGAATAGATGGTTGAATTACTAAAAGCCAACCAGTAACCTGTATCAATAAATGTCATATTACAGATAGCCCTCGACTTACAACCACAATTGAGTGCAAAATTTCTGTTGTTAAGTAAGACATTTGTTAACTGAGTTTTGCCCCATTTTACCACCTTTCTTGCTCAATTGTTAAGTGAATCACCACAATTGATAATTTAGTAACCCGGCAGTTAACTGAATCTGACTTCTCCATTGACTTTGCTTGTCAGAAGGTCACAAAAGGGGATCGTGTAATCTTGGGACACAGCAGTTATAAATATGAACCACTTCCGAAGCATCTGAATTCTGAACACATGGGGATGCTACAAAGGCCGCGACTATGAACAACAGTGATAAGTCAGATTTTTCAGTGCTGTTGTAACTTTGGTTACTATATGAAGTGTTTGTTGTAAGTCGAGGACTATCTGTACTAACAGCTGACCAGTAACCTGTATCAATAAATGTCATATTATTAAATAAAGCCAAAGAGCCAGTGCTATCCGAAGATGTCTCCCTGGTCATGTGGCCGGTATGACTAAACGGCGAAGGCGCATGAAACGCTGTTACCTTCCCACCAAAGGTGGTCCCTATTTTTCTACTTGCATTTTTACATGCTTTCGAACTGCTAGGTTGGCAGAAGCTGGGCCAAGTAACAGGAGCTCACTCTGTTACTTGGCTGTAGGGATTCGAACTGCCGACCTTTCTGATCGACAAGCTCAGCGTCTTAGCCACTGAGCCACCGCATCCCTATTTCTCTCTATATACATATATCTTTCTTTCTTTATATTTATATATATTTATTTCTGTATCTATTTCTTTCCTGTATATATAGATTTATTGTAACATGAAGGCAAACAGGGCTACTTTTAAGCCTTCACTCCAATTCAAGGCCTACTACAGGTAGTCCTCGACTTACAACCATAATTGAGTCCAACAATTATGCTGCCAAAAGTGAGACATTTGTTGTGCGTTTTGCCCCATTTTACGACTGTACTTGCTACAGTTGTTAAGCGAATCATCGCAGTTGTTCAGTTAATAACCCGGTTGTTAAAGGAATCTGGCTTCCCCCCTTGACTTTGCTCCTCAGAAGGTCGGAAAAGGTGTTCCCAGGACCGGTGGGTGACTGAACCCGTCACAAATAGGAACGAATTGTCAAGCATCCAAATCTTAATTCCCGTGACCATAAAGGGTCATAAAGTGTGAAAAATGGTCCCTTTTTCCAGTGACCTTGTGATTTCAAATGGTCACTAAACGAGCTGCTGTAAATCTGCAGGACTACCTGCATTTATCACTTATCAATAACCCAGTCTCTTCCCCATCCCATCTCCACCATTCCTCGGCAGATACTCATAAGCCCAAATTGTGCCATCGCGGCGCCTCTGCTATCAAAACATCCCAAGATCCCGACCCTCTTTTCCCCCTCAATCTCGACCTAGTCACGGTCTCCTCTTCCTCCTCCAGTGAACGGGAGCAAACAAACCAGGATCAGCCTCAGGAAGCCCCGCGATGATGATGATGATGATGATGATGACGCCGCCTCCCCCTCCCCAGTTTTGCCCTCAACGATCAGGATGAGCAACTGGGCAAATCCTGAAGGAAAGGATCGGCCTCCCTTCAGCCCCAGCCGCCCACCCAGGGCTCCTTGAAGGCCCTTCGGTACCCTCGGACTGCATTTCAACCACGAAGGGGGGAGGAAACCACCCATGACCGGGAGGAGGGCGACCACCAGGTGAGGCCGGGCAGCCGAGCGCATCGCGGGCGGGAAAAGACGGTTGCCCCGGGCGACCATGGAGGAGAAGCCCCCCCCTCCCCTGCTGGCGCGAGGAGGAGACCCCGTGGCCTCCCGCCTCAGGACCGGCGGGGGGGGGGTGTCGCCTCCATAACGCTCACCTCCTCCTGCCGCCGAGTCCAGCGGTGCCCCCCAACCGCCCGCTTCGGGGGTGACGGCTCCGGCTCCTCCCGCTTCGGCTCCTCCAGCGGAGCCCGTCTCGTCGGACGCCTCCAGGTCCATAGCTGGCGGAGGCCCGCGCCCGCCTCGCCTCAGCCCGCGACTCGCCGCCGCTAAGCAGAAGAAGAGCGAGAGAGAGAGAGAAAAGAGAGGAGGGAGGGAGAGACCGGGCGGGAGACGACTCAGCAGCAGCGCGCAGGCGCTAGCTCGGCGGCCGGACCGCGAGGTCGGAGGGCTAGAGCGTCCCGCCAAGGGAGCGGAAGAGGCGGCTGTGTTACTATTTGGCCATTCCCCTTCACGGCGATAGGTTCCGGTCTGGGTTTGGGACATTAGGAAGCTTAGGTTGGGAAGGAGACGCTCTGGGAAGCTGGCGCTTTTCTATTGAGCATGTGGTGCAATGTTGCTTGCTTTAGAGCCAAGAAGGATAGTTTGGACTCTGATGTTTACACTGCCCAGAGTCATTGTGAATTGGACAGTGTTTACAGTGTATATTAAATAAACATAAATAGAAGTCTTCTAGGTTTTCTTGTCACAGTAGACTAATATGGATCTCCCTCTGTAACTCAGAATACCCAATTCTTTCTTTGCAAATCAGGAACTGTGCCCAATATTCATTATTGATTTTTATTGATCATTTAAAATGAGCCGAGGTGGCGCAGTGGTTAGAGTGCAGTACTGCAGGCCGCTTCAGCTGACTGCTAACTGCAGTTCGGC